GCACTGGAATTTATATATATTAGAAGATGTTAATCTAACTAATTTTTATCAATGATTATTTTGCGAATACGCCACTAATTCACTTTATGAATGATCTTAATTTTGATTGACTCACAAAGGAACTTACCGATGTTTAACTACCTGGACTGCACTTTTCTGCCACTTTGTTGGTCAAGCTTGATTTCGCAAAATTTATTTATTTCAATTAGCTATGAAATGTGAGGCTATGGTATATTATGGGATGGGGGTGGTAGTACTTGCTCCGTTCTTTTTGACGGGCTATACGCTAGTCTGTATATAAAATGCAGCTATACCTAGACAACTAACAACACGTGTCTATAAAGTAGATGCCTGTAGATAGTCAACCAGAAACATATTTATATAAAGTAAATACAATACCTGTGCCTAGTCAACCGACAATACATGTATATAAATAACTGTACTACCTATAGTTAATGAATAACTATTTTTAAAGAGTTGAGATTATAACTAACTCATCTAAAGGTTACGTTCCTGTAAGTAAAACATCACGGTCTGTCAAGAAGATTTACAGTAAAGTAAGTCTTTTCTGGGAAGTTTTATTGTTATTACGAACAATCATGAGAGATACCTTGTCACTGTATTATCACTTACTTTGAAAATCTTAAAAAAGAACAGACATTCATAAAAAGGTTCATTGTAGATTACTGGCTTGTGAATGTGTATAAGTTCATGAAGATTATCAAAGGAAATTAAACTAGATTTATGACGTGATAATGACTTTAACTAATCTGTATTTAGTGGATAAAGAATTCGCTGTTTAGTTTTAAACAATATTAAATAACAAAATGTCATTCCCCACGTTTATTGAATTGTTAAGATATTTTATAATGAAAAAAACCTTTATGTAAAAGTCTTTCTAATACCTTTCATTGTTAAATGCATTTTCCAGACTAATAGTAACAACATTACTTAGACGTGCATGTGGGAGGTTAAACCTATTAAGTGATATTCATGTGTTTTATCAAGACAGCTTAATTCCAAGGTTTATCTAACTCGAAAAAAGGTGTATGATTGAAAATGACAGTTACCACTAATGCTTGGAGACGGCTTGAATGGGTAATGAAGAAAAACTTTAATATACGTTTAACATAACAGCAAATGTACAACATTTCGACAAGGTTTTACCATCATCAGGTACAAAACCTTGTCGAAACGTTGTACATTTGCTGTTATGTTAAACTTATATTAAAGTTTCTTTCATTACCCATTCAAGCCGTCTCCAACAATTATTAGTCTCAAAGTGGGTTCCTCGTCATCGAATTTGACAGTTACTACTATTCGTTTTTTCCTTATTAGCTGAACGGACGATTTATTTGATATTGATAAAGTATCAATTGATTAACTTCAGTTACAAATATAAAATAGTACTTTACAGTGAGCTACTGTTGATAATTCTAATCCAGATTTTCTAAAATTAGAAAACGGTGATTCTAATTTCGAAGCATCGAAAACTATACACTTTTTAGATGAGGCAACCTATCGATTAAGTCTTGTTTTTTAATTATTTCACTTATTACTGCAAAAATTGTTCGATGGCACAGTCGAATTTTTCAATATTCAACAAACTGCATAGATCATTAAAAACTAACAAGTGATTATTACTGCACGATTTAACTTTTCAACTTAGAAACAATTTCCATCCTTACTAATATTGAACATTTAGTATCTAATATAGGAGTAAAAACTGAAATTCAAGAGATGAAAGTGAGTTGGCGATGAGGAGAAGCATGCGCAGAAGCAGGAATGGTTTGCAATTTATGTGCGATACACTTGGTAACTGATACAAACAGAATAATACATTTTATATAAAATGAATGAGGACAAGAAAAACATATGGAATATTCAAGTTCGGAAACCTCTCTCTAAAGTTGAATGTCAAGAAAAGAATGAAAACACCTTCATTTTTTCCAAGCGTTTCGGTGGTTATATTTCTTTTATAAGATATTTTATGATAGATTAATGCACATTTTATAAATACGTTTATGAATAATTTCTTATTTTGAAAGAACCCCCCAGTGGCACAGCGGTATGTCTGCGGACTTACAACGCTAAAAACCGGGTTTCGATACCCGTGGTGGGTAGAGCACGGATAGTCCTTGTTTAGCTTTGTGCATAATTAAAAGCAAACAAACAATTATTTTGAAAGCATGCTATCTAAATATTCCGGGTTATTAAAGTCAAAGGTTAGGTAGATTAAAAAAAAGGAAATATGGTATTCTAAATAATTATAAAAATAGTGTATAAAATGGATATAAAATGCAAATGTTGTGCGATTATTCCTCTTCTGTTATAATGAAAATGAAAATATGCAGTAGAGTTCAGTCACCTGTTAATAGTTTACACTGTGATTGGCTGTCATCCAACCAATCAGACAATGCCGCATCGGACATAATATCTTAAAAAGCTTAGGTATTAGTGTAGTGATTATACTTATTTTTCCCAGGACAGAAATTCCACATTACAAAGGTGTAGAAATAACGTCTGGTTGCTAAAAGATATTCCATGCAACAGAGTGAGTCGAAATTTAATTTCAGTAGGATCTGTATTGAAATTCTAAAGATTGTAAGGGAAACAAGTACAGTTTATAACAGAAACGGTCGAGGTAAACGAAACTTTTCAAAAGGTATACTGTAGGGATCTTGCCAATTACATATCTGTAGGTACAAACAGTATGAGATAGAGAGGGACGAAATGGCCTTAATGGATGTATAGCTACTGTAAACCGCCTGCTTAGAAAAGAGAACCGGAGGTTGAAATGCGTATCCTTTTCTAACAAATGGAATAAATAAAGTTGGAGAAGGGTTATCTTTACAGAAGGATCCAAATTCCAGTTTGTCTGACAACGATCAATGATAGTTTGTTTGATGGCAGTAAGGTAAACGCATAAAGTCCCAATATGAAACTTAGTGAGACTGTATGAGTTTCCATAAAAACGGTCCCAATATGAAACTTTTTAAGGCTGTATGAGTTTCTGTGAAAACCGTCCCGATATGAAACTGTATGAATTTCTGTGAAAACCGTCCCAATATAAAACCTATTATGTCTGTATGAGTTTCTGTGAAAGCCGTCCCAATATGAAACTTATTATGACTGTATGAATTTTTGTGAAAACCGTCCCAGACTGTATTACTTTTTGCGCAAAATTCAAAAGTCAGCCAGCAACTAATGAGTTTGGCTCAAGTATAGGCAATAATACAGAACATGTAGAGCAATATTTTTACAATCATATATTGATAAACTTATTGTAGCATAAAAATAAGCTGTATTTCTCTGCTTAAAAAAATACAAAATACGTTACTTTAAGAATAAAAAGGCATGACTGGGGAGTGGTTCAAATAAAAACACCCGTCGTTATTTACAAGGCGATAATTCAAACCTTTAAAAGTTTCAATTTAGAATAAATAAAATTTTACACACTTGCTATGTATGAAAATGTGTGGATTTATAAAAAAAATTGAAATTCTTTGAAATGGTGTGTGAAAATTAAAAAGATAACTTCTAACAGAGTTATTTAAGGTAATGTTATGATTACTATAAAGTTTGATTAACCTAATATTTTGAGAAGACGGTAACTCTTCAAAATATCACCATTTAATATTTCAAAATTATATTTTGTGGGTAAAAACCACACTTTTTCTGATATTTTACATAATGTAAAATCACACTTTTTCTGATATTTTACATAATATTTTTATTTTTGAAGTTAAGCACAAAGCTACACATTGGGCTATCTGTGCTCTGCCCACCACGGGTATCGAAACCCGGATTCTAGCGTTGTAAGTCCGCAGACATACCGCTGTGCTATTGGGGGGCTTTACATAATGTAAAATCACACTTTTTCTGATATTCTACATAATGTAAAATCACACTTTTTCTGACGAAGGGTGTACATAGTTCTTGTATCAGTAATTCAAACCCATAGAAGTGTAAACCCACACTTTTTAGAGTGTTATGCATTATATAACCTCTTCGTGTTGTACTTTTTCTGTACAATATATTGCATTACTTACAACTTCGCCTTCTAGCTGCAAGTAGTCATTAGTTGTGTCTACTGTTACCTTTCCGTTTCCATAATTACTTCCAATATATCAGTAAAAACTACTAAAAAGAGATAAGTTAAAATAAAGCAAAGTGAGATTTCGAATAAAAAATATTTAAGGTGAGTAAAGCAGGGGTGGAAAGAAAGGGGAGAAACTGAGTACAAGAGAGAAATAAAGAAAAAGAAAATATTATGACGATACGAAATAGGGGATTATGCTAGTAAAGGATTATCGGTCAGATTAAAAAAGTAAGATTTATAAAGGAATTACAGGGGTAGTCTATACGATGTTAAAAGACCACAAAGGAATACAGAGGGCTGAGTTCGTTATATTAAAACAAGTTTAAATATGTAAATCAGCAAGTCATATGATAATCACAGCCGATACAAAGTCGCAGTAAAAAGTCGGAAGATGATACACATAAAGTTGAGAACTTCCACTAGACTCAATAACCTGAGAATGAGACACTACAACTTTGAAAACTTCCACCAGACTATATAATATGAGAATGAGACACTATAAATTTATTAAGGGTTTCCACCAGACTATGTAATGTGAGAATGAGACACTAAAAACTTGAGGACTTCCACCAGACTATGTAATGTGAGAATGAAACACTACAACTTTGAAAACTTCCACCAGACTGTATAATATGAGAATAAGACACTAAAAACTTGAGGACTTCCATCAAACTATATGATTGATTTGTTTCAATGTTGTAGAGAATTTTGTTAAAGGATTCAGTTTCAGATTAAAGAATCACGCACGCACGACCATATTCAAGGGAAGTCTACGAACATTAGACCATTAGATCTAAAATGCACTCTGTCTCACAATTGACACTTTTTATTTCATCTAAAATTGGTAGCACAAATTATTTAAAAGGCTGCTAATGAATTCATCTTCTTTATACTACAGCCAAACCACCGTCTTCCAGGATTCGTTCTGCTAGTGAGACAGTCCAGATGAAGGAACAACTGAGGCTGAGGTGTAAAGTCAAGGGGAACCCACAACCTCAAATAGAGTGGTACAGAAATGAAACGCTTCTCAACGAAAATACAAGGATTAAAATAACAACAAAAAGGTAAAAACTTGTACAGAAATAGTTATCTCAACTATGTATATTAACCCTGATGAAGCCGCAAAGGCGAAACGTTGATTTAAAAAAAAATCTTTTATATGTATCTGAACTAAAAAGGTCGTTTTCTTCTAAACTTTTATATCAACTTTTCATTAGGTGCAAAAAAATATATCTTTAAATACTGAGTGAAATTGGTAGTTCCAGCTTTCAATTTGATTTACATTCCGACAGATTACAAGTCCTTGTTGATACTTGACAGTAGTTTCACGTACTTCGTAATGAAAACAAAGCTGTGCAGGTTCTAATGTAACAAGAGAAGGTTTCACCTATAAAGTTAGAACACGTTTAATTTATTTACCAAACAATACTATTATTATTCAGCTCTAGCTTGATGTTCTGTTAAGGTTTAAAAGCAAATATTTCTGAGACATACGAAAGTGAAAACGATTTCAATAAAAACGTTTTAATTCCATGTAAAGTAAGTTAACATTTTAGTAGTATAGAATGGTAAGGTCTACCAATTGATTAATGTGATAAAACTAGTGTAAATATAAGAATGTTTTTAAACACAATATATATCAACAGGAAGATGATTTTTTGACTAGTGCTCATAAAGGCCAATATTTTCAGTAATTATGAAAGATGAAAAAGCTCTATTCATTTATTTTACGCTTCTAAACACATACATATATCTGTGGAAAAAATATTACATATGTAGACTTATATCGGTAAAATATCTTAAGTATATCTTTCACTAAAACATCACAAGTGTAACTCTGTGAGGAAAATATTGTACAACTGACAGAAAATATATCAATATAGCTATCAGAACTATATATACATATGTATAGATATTAGAAATATATATATATATATACATATGTATAGATATTAGAAATATATATATATATATACATATGTATAGATATTAGAAATATATATATATATACATATGTATAGATATTAGAAATATATATATATATATATATGTATAGCTATCAGAATTATATACATATATGTGTATAGCTTTATGAAATGATGCACGTAAACCTATAAAAATACAAATTTTCCTACCAGAAAATATTATGTGTATACATTTAAAAAACAGCTACACATATAGTTTTCACAAAAATATATGTACGGCTGTAAAAATAAATATAGTTTTAGCTCTCATGAAACATATACGAATAGGTCTGAAAATATACATATCTATATAGATAAAAAAAACACAAAAAACGAGTGTATATAAATCATTTCCAAACTTGACTTCCAGTGTTTTCTAATATGTTCGTCTACGTATAACTCTGTCTATTCTTTTATTGTTCATACTTTACAAAACAATAACAACAACAGGTGTATATACTTATGGTTGATTTTATTGGTTTGAGATCTGTTGTGCGAATATAGTATAATTTAACAATAAATTTATTGTATCGTAACCGTCACAGATATTGTAAGTTGAAAAGTATTATTGCCAGTGCTTTGTGCACGAGAAGGTTTAAATATGTTTCACGCCATTTACAAAAATGTCCGTATATTTGTTACAATCATGTATACCAAGAAGGGAAAGAAATGATTGGAAGTGACGCTACCCTCGTATTTGTTTTTGGTGACACATACATGTTTAAGCGTATAACACGTCTTTAGCCCTGTCGTCTCTCGACTGTTTGCTTGGATAACTTTTCTTCATCATCGTACATGATTTATCAGATCTGATTACCACGGGATGAATGATAGGTCCCCCGGTGGGTCAGCGGTAAGTTTACTTACTTACAACGCTAGAATCTGGGGGTTCATTTCTCGCGGATGACAAAGCGCAGATACCCATTGTTAGCTTTGTGCCAAAAAATAAACAGTTCTTTTTTACACACTCTCCGGTGGCTTAGCGGTAAGTCTAAGGATTATAACGCTAGAAATCGAATTTCGGTACTCTGCGAGAAGAGCAAAGATAGCCGATGGCGTATCTATGTGTTTAAAAAAAATCAAAGGCAGAGCAAGTTCAAAAAACCGTAAAGGTTTTTATAGCGACCCGATCTCAAAGGATCGAGAAATCGAATCGAATAAATCCAACAAATACAGTAAAAATATGAAGCTATATGTCAAATGTTTTTTTACATTTGATCAGTTTTTCTCTATAGTTTAATAAAGGGAGAATGTCTTAGCCATAGAATAAACACAAAGCAGTACAGCGCATCACACGTCATCAATACTTTATACACTTTATACTGCACATTAATAGCAAGTCTAATCCTGTAGAAGAAACGTATTTCTTGACAGTAGTCTATCTAGAAAACACTGGAAACACAAACATAAAGTCAATTCAGAGAGCTATATTTTATCATAAGGATTGCTACTGTCAACATTTAAGTAATGATTAAAAAACATTTATTTATGGTGCATCAGCGTCTTATTACTTTTGCACTGCCCTCTATAATTTCCTCTCCTTTCCTCCCTACAACAGCGATTGATATTTCAGAAGAAATTCATGGATATAGTGAGTATATAAGAATAGATAAGACAAACAATGATAATAAGAACCTAAAAATAACATGGAACATTGGAGTCTCGTTGTGAATTTGCAAACTTCTGTGTTTTTAAAAGTAGGGTCGAGTGGTTGGTGTGCCTCTTCTGTGAATCCGAGGATTTATGGTTCATATCCTATTTCAACATGATTGCCCTCTTCCCTTTTAGAACACTCTAAGATTAGCGCTTAAACCCCAATATTCTGTCAGACAAGAGTAGCCCAAGAGTTGATGGTGGATGATATTGACTAGATGTCTTCTCGCTAATCTGTCAGTTCACAATTAGGAACGACTGTGTGGAGATAGACCTTGTATAAGTAAAGTCGCAACAAAGTGCTTTGCTATACAGACGTTTTTGTGTTTAAAAAAAATCATAATAATCATTTCTTATGTTATTTTAAATTTAATCATACTTCTATAATTGTAAAATGTTCTTTCTATGGTATATTTTAGGCGAAGTTCGGTGCTCACTATCAATCGAGCGAAACGACGAGATAGCGGGTGGTACAGATGTCAAGCGTCTAACGTTTTGGGTCCACCAGCTGTAAGCAAGACGAAGATTGAAATTGTTAGACTGAGAAAGCCTACAGTACCACTAACACCAACCACTGGTATTTGTTCAATATCACATTACTAAATTCACAGTGTCTGTTATATAGTTCTGTCTCAAGAGAAAACTTTTACAATTTTTTTTAAAGAAGGATCTTCTTACTTGTCGTTCGTGACCGGACAATTTAGGGTTTTACCACTGTACAAACATTTATTTAATAACTTATCTAATAATACCTAGTGATATGAACAACTTTGTAAAAATACCCGAGTCCCCTATTATTAGCTTTTCAACATTCTCCTAGTATTTCTGTTAGTAAAGAATTTTCAGAACTAAATATTTAAAGGAAAAAAGCGCAGTTGCAAGTTTTCTGTTTATAGCTTAAACTGCAACATGCATCTTTATAGATAAACAGTTTCGAGTGTTTTTATTCTTAAAATTAAATGTTTAGATCATATTATAGTCGTATCGCTTAGTCGAAATCATGAACAACTTATCCACACGCTAGTGCTTGCCCTTCCAGAAACCACACCCAACATTACATAACAACGAGGATGTGGCAATTGTACTAAAAATGTACTGGGCCTCTTTGTAAATTTAGTTTCAGTAGAAGGAAAGAGAGTTATTACTATTTATCACTAAATGTATACGTCTGTGGTCTCCATGTGTTCATTGTATGTTAGGCTAAAAACAGGCTAGAGCTGTAGTGAAAACAAAGCCTCATGTAAATATTTTCAACTAAATGTTTGGAGTTCATTGCCGCAAAAAAGTCTTGTTCTTATAATATTTTCTTTAACACTCCTCGTTCTGTATAACTAAGGTTTTTGACCGTATAAGGTTAAGAGTTTATAACAAATTCCAACAATTAGTACTTTTTATTTGTATATAACTAGTCACGTATATGGCATAATATAAAATCAATTAATTAGATTTTTGCCATTGTCAAGACTCAAATCAGTTATCATAAACGTTCAGGTTCGTAAAAAGTCAGTCCAGAAAGCCTAAACGGTACTAATTCTATTTATCTTCTAGTTACTTGTTATGATTACTACAGTTACTACTCATCTAAAGCTAAGAACGAATACATTATGTTTCTAATTTCATGGACTAATATTAAAACACAGTACACATTCTTTGTGGTCATGATGTTAATATGTTTTGGTGTTTACGATGACATAGAGATGACACATTTTCAAATCGAAGGACAACCATGTGACGTCAAGTTTTTCTGTCTGAATGGTGGGACGTGTACCATGATCGTATCCCTGCAGGAGCGCGTGTGTGTGTAAGTTACATTCTTATTTCGCTCTCCTTAAAAAGTTATGAAAATATACATTATTGATTTATTAATTTCATACAAACTACATTAACAATGAACGAATCCATATCACATTATTAAGACCTTTACATGTGTCTATTGAGTTAAATGATAAAAAAAACCAAAAAACAAGTGACACCCAACAAAAACAAAGATATTCGGAAATTACAAGATTGCATTACCATATCTAAAAGAATACTGAATATTACAACTTCCGTGATCCCTATGTTTAATTCAAAACGAGTAACTTCTAATGAGTAAAATATTTAACAGAACCTTTCATTTTAATCATTTTTCTGGGAAATCAGAAATGCAATGTTTGCATTGCTGTGGCTCTTGAAAATAAATCTGCAAAAACAAGATGTTTGGTAATTAGTATTTTACTCATCTACAGTTGGTATTTTTTGTTTTCATGTAAGCAGTGTGCTTTACGACAGTTCCACTTAAATGATCTAAATGTGTTTGCTTATTACCTTTCTGTGCTTTTTACAAATACTTTTGGGTTATATCTAGTGTATACCCTGCATAATACAGAAACAAAATCAAGGTCCAGCTTATCAATAAAAATGGGCGCGAATATAACTTGTTATTGCAATCAACACGCCCCCTAGTGGTACAGCGATATCTTTGCGTACTTACAACGCTAGAAACTGGGTTTCGATACCCGTGGTGGGCAGAGCACAGATAGCCCATTGTGTAGCTTTGTGCATAACTACAAACAAACGAATCGTTATTACAATTATGGGAAATGATTAACCAGCATATTCAAGTATATTTCTAAACATAGAAACATATTTTACTTAAAATTATTACTTTGTAGCAGACTACTTACATTTCTTATGATACAGTAAACAAGCTTTGTACTTAATTACAAACAAACAAAAAGCAAATACCGCAGTCCTTATTCGACTGTATTTCATAGTTCATGATTTCTATTATATGTGTAGTCAGATTGGTAATAAGGAAAAGGATGCTTTACTCGATTTGTTGTTTTAATGAATTTAAATGATATTTTATCAAATGCTGAATGTATGTGCGGGGATATTTCTGAACTTACCAAGTTCTATATACTGCATTAGGATTAGCAAAAATGTAATTGCTTTTCTTAGGTAGATGGCCTGGCGGTTAGGGCGCTGGACTCGCAATCTGCGGGTCGTGGGATCAAACCTCGTCACCGTACATGCTCGCCCTTGCAGTCGCGGGGGTGTAATAAAGTGACGGTCAATTCCACTATTCGTTGGCAAAGAATAGCCCAAGAGTTGGTGGTGGTTGTTGTTGTCTGTTTTTCCTTCTAGTCTATCACTTCAAAATTAGGGGGGGGGGGGCTAGTGCAGATAGCCCTACAGTAGCTTTGCGCGAAATTGAACAAACAAACTTAACTATCTATACAATTGCAATCGGATATTAATGATAAAGCTAGAAATTATGGTATTTTAATGAATTTTGAAGCTAGAAAAATATTAAATAATTAATTCCAGCCCTCCCCCTTCCCACTGGCACAACGATATGTCCGAAGGTTTATAACACTAGAAAACGGGTTTCGATATCTTTGGTGGGTACAGCAAAGGGTGACCCATTGTGTAGCTTTGTGCCCTACTGGAAACAAACAAACAAATTTAAATCATGATTTTATAACTATTTGGTTAATATTTTAAAGTTGATATGTTAAGACCTAATCTCCGTGAGTTGTCTTATTTAATATCGGAGATAATTTATTAACACTCCTGATATAAAATTCACATTAGAAATCGCACAAAGTGTGAAAAGTATAAAAGCAACAAAAAATATTATGATCACTGCTTCATAAACGTCGTTAGTATTGGCATATTTTCGATAAGTGAATGATGGCTAATAATTTCAATAATTTTTCCTAATTCAAAACATTAATACACACACATATATATATATATATTCGATAAGTAATTAATATGTAAGTAATAATTTATATATATATATATTTCTTTTTTACTATAGATGTGCCGACGGATTTAAAGGACGGCGGTGTGAACAGAAAGATACGAAATATATGTTTGGCAGTACGTTAAGTTTTTATTGTAATAGCTATCACACTAGACATTCTCCTTGCACCGCCATCTGTTGGCATACGCTTTATATTTGACAAACCTCAACATTAGATTCAATACTTCATGTTTTAATTTAATTGTGATATAAAAATTATTTCATACAATTAGAAGTGTTGTGTTTACAACATAAAAGCAGGAAGATGGTAAAATAAATATAGCCAATGTTTTTATACCATTAACTATTTCATTTTATTCTAAAATGTTTTATAATAAATTCCAACGGATCCTACTTTCTAACTAATGAAATTTTGTGGTAGTTTTCTATTGATTTCTATAAGTGTTCCCTTTCCATAAGTTTATCTTTTAAAATCCTATGTAAATTCCTTCTTCTGGTAGGCAGTGCTACTCACCTAACGCTAGTTCCACACACATATTTTGTGTAGTATATTAGTTCTGACAATGTGCAGCGCATGCTCACAATAAGCTTCTATTTGTGTAATTTAACATAAAAATTACAAAGCAATAAGTATCAACACTAGTAATTATCGGAAGTTTGTGCTATTTGTTTTCCTGAACATAACAAACAAGAATACTATACAGAAGAACGTGTGTTTTTTACTTATAAAATGATTATTTTGTTTGAAATGTTGGAAGGGATTGATTTCCTAATTTTATTCCATTTTATAAAATTTTCGTTAATGTATTTCCTTAAATTGACAATATTAAAACAACTTCTATGACTTATTTACGTACATCATGATTAAGCTAACCCTTTACACACCCCTTAAGAGAATGAATATCAAAGAAAAATAAACAAATCTATATCATTTTAAATTTGGTTCGTGATTCATATACTTTAATTAAACCAATATTTTCATAGAAAAATAAAAAATATCGCTTGCTTTCGAAAGTCATGCTAATGATATTGGTAAGATGTTTAAATACTTTTGTTCCTCATGAATCAGTATATTATACCGAAATCAATGGAACAATGATATGAATTTTTGAGTTACATATTTTACATATCGCTTGCTTTCGAAAGTCGTGCTAATGATATTGGTAAGATTTTTAAATACTTTTGTTCCTCATGAATCAGTATATTATACCGAAATCAATGGAACAATGAT